AATATGCCTGTTGGGCCCGGATCCTTTATTGCCTGAGCCAGCGGCTGCGAATGCTCTAAATTTAAGGATCCTACAATTAGAGAAACATGTTATCCTGGGATATGGTACCCTTGGTTTATGTGCTTAACAGGCAGGGGCTGCGCAGGGCACTTAAAGGTTCATGAAACGGGAACGACCGGGACGACTTGGGTTTTGGGTTACCGCGGCCCGGAGGGCTGTGGCGCCCAGTCGTCTGTGGCCGGCCTTCCGCGGCTCCTGGTGCCACCAGCTTGCCCGCTGCGGCCCCCGACCCTGAACTCACCGTCGCCCGACAGAACGTAGCACTGGGACAGGAAGAGCAGCACGCGGGACAAGAGGCGGACAGACCACAGCGGCTCCGCCGCAGCCTCCATCTTGCCGGTGCGCGTGCGCACTTCCGGGCCAGTAGGCGGGGCGCGCCGATGGGGGCGTGACAGGGCGTGGCCCGCAGGCGCATTGCTGCTGGGCTCCGCCTGCGGGCGTTGCTGGGTCCCAATTCGGAAGATGGGTAGCAAGCGACTGGAGGTGGCTAGGAGCTGAGCCGCCCTCACACCTTTTGAGGAGACGTCCCTCTTTCCATTGGGAGTCTGGGAGAGGCCGGTGATGATGTTAACTCATTTTATTTCCGCCGATCCATGCAGCTAGGAAAGTAGCTCCAAGAGAGTCAGGTGGCTGGGGTCCCAGGCTCCAGGACCCAGGACTCCTGCGTTGGGTTTCACCCAGTCTAAATTTGGAGGGAACACGCGGTTCTTACAACAGTTCCTCTGAGACAGGGAAAAGCAGGTCAAGCCTCAGGGGTCTGGGACAAGAGCCAAGTGTGTGGGATTTTCCCAACGCTGCCCGATCAAGAGACCACCAACAGTGAGGAGGGGAGCTGCCCTTGGCGATCTGCACTGTTTCCATCATGCGTATCTCAGAAAACATGCTGTTGTTAGGCCCCCTTTTCCTATGCCTGTATTTTGTTGACATGCACTTTGGGGTCCTCAAACTCCCCATTCTCCCACTTGTACATCTGATAAGTGACAAAGTACATGAAATGGTGTCTGGCATTCGACAAACCCGAAGTTAGCTTTAAAAATTGTCACAGTCTGCACTCTACATTGTCACTCTGGTCTCATCTATGACACTAACTGATGGTTCATTCTTAGTGTTCCCAGGAAGTTCAATGACTACTATGTTAAAGACAGATTCCTTTCTGCATCTAATTTGAATTCTGCAGCACCTACTGAAATAAATCCTTAACTAAATTCCCTTTGGCATAAAGCTATTTTAATTAGGTTCCAAGACAGTAAAGTTTGGAACCTAATTAAAGTTAAAATCAGAAGTATGGAGGTGGAGCGATGATTCAGCAGTCAAGAGCACTGGCCACTCTTAAAGAAGACCTAGGTTCGATTCCCTGCATCCACACGTAGGCTCGCTACCACCCACAACTACAGTTCCAGGGACCTGGTACCCTCTTCTGGCCTCTGTAGTGCACAGACATACAGGCAGACAAAACAGTCATACAAGCAAAATACTAAAAATAATTTTAAAAGTATCAGAAATACAGTCCAGGGGCACAGACAGGCAAATCTCTGTGAGTTCCAGACCAGCCAGGACTACATAAAAAAATAAAAAAGTCAGCAATCCACTTGATTCAGCAAAGCAGTGAAACACCCCATGAAAGCAGTAATTAAGCCCTAGGAAAGCAATGTAACACGGCACATACACTGCAGAGGTTCTCAAAACACCATGTGATGCATTTTATTTGGGACTTTATTTTTTTCTAATGATAAGAAATTATGATTTAGAAGCATTAAAATTGCAGCTCTTAATCTACAATGCAAATAACAAATTCCACGAAATTTGAGGTCCATAGTCCTTTGCCACTAACACAATATTAGTGCTTCTCCTGTCATGGCTGGCTAAATGGTGTAGTGATTCCGACTTTGGACATGAAGTTTTAGTGTGAACTTTAGTAAAAGAGCCCTAAAAAATACCTGAGACATGTGTATTAGAAAATAAGACCCCCTCCCCATGGGCTTTTCTTTAAAGTCTATTTCTGTTGTTGGGTGAGAGGCGGTGGCTGCTGGGGACGGAGCCCAGGGCCTCATACATGCAAGGCAGATGCTCTAGTTAGAAACTACAGCCCCCAGCCTGGAAGCCTGTCTTTTGAGAAAAAAAAAAAAAAAAAAAAAAAAAAAAAAAAACAAAGAAAACTTTTGATAGTTCTCACTAGTGTTTCCCTCTTTGAATGAATACCATTTTACCAGTGAGGTCTCTGAAGTTTTGATCTCTTTGTGTTTCTCCAACTTCTCCTGTTTAGTCTCAGAACACAATGAATTAAAAATTTGTATATATCAAATAATCATTGTCCATTAGGTGAACTCATTAGTGGCCTACCAGTGACCCCAAGGTTCTGAGAAGTGCTAATATCTTAAGTGGTTAGGAAAGTGTAGAAGTACAAGGAACAGACTTCAAAAGTCTTCCTCAGCATTTAAAGTGCGTGAGTTTTTTAGGTTCTTCAATTTTTCAATGACAGAAGCTATTGAAATTTCTCCATGAATTTTGTTGTCTCTTGTTCGAACATTTACTGCGTTATTTATCTTTTCTTTCTCACCAACCACTGTAGAAAAGAAAGTGAAATAAACATTTTTAAAATTAATGATTCACCGACAGTTAACAGTCATTTGATACATGCCCGAGTTTCCCCTCAATGTTACTGACTACATTTCAGTCTAGTGAACATTAGGGCCTCCCTCAATAGTTAAGTGTCTTGAGAGGAGGGATGGTGTCTAAGCCCTTCTCCTGTCTACCTGAGAACACAAATGGGAAAGGAGCTTTTACCAACATCTGATTCTTCCTACCCTATTTGATGACGCCAAGGAACCATCAAGTGGTTGGATCCAGGCAAGCCAACCAGAATTTTCTAGAATGTGGGGGAAAGCCTGCTCTCTCTAGTAACCATACAGTGAGCAGATGCAGGAATATGCATTCAAGTTTCTTGCCACATAGAAAGAAGAAACTGTTAAATGGAATAAAGTATAAAGGATCAGAGCAAAACAGGAAACAGAAATGGAGAGACACGGTCCTAGTGAGGGCTGAGTTCCTGGTTACTCTTTCAATAGCATGGTTATTAATTCTACCTTTCTGGTCATTAGTCACTCTGGTGCCTTTCCAATCTGGTAATATGAGATTTATAATACAACAAAGATTCTTTCTACAAGGCAAACATTACCAGTGAACAACTGTTGGCAGAACAACTCTGGGCACTTTTTTTTTCTTTCTGTTACACAACCTTTTAGCTTTCAGGTCATATCCATACTATGCCTCCAGGCATAGCAATTTCAGTTTCTCTTGATATCATTGCTAATTTTCATTCATTTCTTTTTTAAAGCCGTATTTTGGATTATACCCAATTATATATCTCTTGGAATGCTATTTATTCATCTTTTCTTTTGATCATTTAAAATTTGGAGTCTTTTCTACACATAACTTAATTCAAGCTTTCTAATAAACCAGAAAACCAAGAGGAACATCTGAGCTTTGTGCTGGGGTCAGGTAGAAGCAGTGCAATTCCACTGAAAAAATAATCTGGGTGTCTACCTCCATTTGGGCTTAAACGTTAACTGTCACTAGCAACGCCACACCCGGGACCCCACGTGGAGCAAGTGACACCGCACCATGGGCTCGGTGTGGCGCTGCAGGACACTTCCATGTGCACTACCATCAACAGTCAACTTGTGATAAGTAGTTACACCATTTCCCTCCTTTTTACTTTCCTTAAGTAAAACCCCAAGCAGAGTATCTGAAAAAGTGGATGAGCTTAAATTACCCAAAATAAAATTATACTGAGCCAGCTGTGCATTCCGTATCTTCTTATTTAGTGTACAGCTCTCATCTAAGTCCACGTCGGCCATAAAGCCTTCTTCAAAACATTCCTTGGACACCTAGAAGAAAGAGGGATATTTCTGTCATTGCATCATAGCCAGACGCCACAGCAGCCCTGTTTCCCATCTCCTAATACCCTGCACAGTGACTGCCACTTTGTTCAGACTTCGTGACTCAGAAAGGCTTGGAAGGGAGGGCGTGTGACTACTGAATCTAGGCTGTCAAAGCCCGCCGCTCCACTCAGACCCCTCGCTCTGGAGGGCATTCCAACAGCCTGAGATCACACAGGCTCATGGTGCCTGCGCCCTTAGCTGCAGCCTCACAAGAAGCCACGCTAGAAACAACCAGCTAGGGGCTCAGCGGTTAAAAGTAAGTATTGCTCTTGCAGAGGATGTGGGCTTGGTTCCCAGCACATACATCATGGCTCAGCCCCCACCCCCACTAGTTTCAGAGGCTCTGGGAGCCTCTGCTAAACTCTTCAGGCACCAGACACAAATATGGTGCACATACAGACAGGCAGGAAAACACTCATACATAGAAAATAAATGAGCTGGGTGTGATGGTGTATGACTTTAATTCCAGCACTCAGGAGGCAGAGGCAAGAGGATCTCTGTGAGCTTGAGGCCAGCCTTGTCTATGTTTCAGGACAGAATGGCTACATAGAGAGATCCTTTCTTTAAAAAAAAAAAAAAGTCCAAATAACCATTTTTTTAAAATTTAAAAAATAGAACCAACAAGCTAAGCTGCTCCCAGACCTCTACCCAAAAGTAAGAGGATAAATATCCGTTGTTATGAGCTGTAGATAATTCGCTTTCTTTCCCCAACACAGACATGTAGGAAAGAGTAAGTGTGAGGGCTCAAAAACATAAGCACCAGATCTGATGCAGCTCCACAGACATAATCCACACATTGCCCCCAACAACAGAAAGCTCAGGCTGTTAGAAACGTGTTGGGTAGGCGTTATCTTCAATCACCTACCTACACAAAGTGCATGGCAGGTTATTATATACTTTAAAGGTCCGTCATCCTACCTGAAGTGCGTAATCTTCACAAGTTGGACCTACAGGGATGACCATTACCTGGCGAGGAGACAACCAGAGAGGCCTGAAAAATACGTAAAATATGTATGTTTAAAGGTATTTAAAAGTGACCACTTATGTGGTTAAAAGTAATCAATACTTTCTCAAGGTGAGCTTCATAAGACAGTGGTATTGGTAAAATGGCAAAGAAGCAAACGAAACTTTAAGGTGGGAGACATCAGAGTAGACAGAAAAGGAATTTTGAGAGGAAAAGAAGGAGGACACATTCTTGCACTCCCGGGCCTTTATCCTAGGAGCCTTGCGCCTACATAACACTTCCACACTGACAGCCTTGTGACTACACAGCTCCTCACACTGTAGCCTTGTGACTACACAGCTCCTCACACTGACAGCCTGTGGCTACACAGCACCTCACACTGACATCCACAGCAGCTTTACTTAGTGCAGCTCTGACTGAAAATCCCAATTGTTCTTCAGTGGGTGAACCGTCTAACATGGTCAACCACACTTTGGAACACCAAGAACAATCCCAGTGAACCGACAGAATAAAGATGGCTCTCACTTGTAGCAAATGAAAAATAACCAGTCATAAAATGACATATTGCATAACCCCATTTTGTGACATCCTTGAACTGACAGAATTGTGGAGAAAAAAAATTGGTGTACGGTTGCTGGATTAGTAGACTGCCGTAGGATAGAGCATGTGTATCCATAAAAGGTCAGCATGAGTGGTTGTTACAAACGGTGGCATCTTCAGTACCATGACTGGTGGTGACGACTTCATGTTTACACGTGATACAATCTTATGGAACAAAACACACCCATGCATAGAACTGACCACACAAGAAATGGTAATATCCGGACAGGGCTGGCAGCATTGACGCATGGTTGTGATGTACTGTATAATTCTGCAACATGAAACCACCGGGGAAAGTGGGTAAATTATACATCTCTCTGCATTACCTCTTACAACTACATGTGAACCTATGAGTGTGTCCAAATACAACGCTGTTTTAAAAAATACAGAGGGCCATGTTTGCTGTGAGATACATTTACCTTTTTCTTCATCGTGGTGTGGTGGGGACCCTTCCCAGCCACTACTTTTTGAATATGCACAGTCACATACTTCTATGCTCTGGTCTCACCCTACCCCATCCTACTGCTCCCAGGGAATCTCATTTTCTAAGACATTTTCATCAAAATCTGGCAGGTATTTGAAGTTGATACACAAAGTGTGGGGAGAATGGCTGTCCCTGAGGAGAGACTAGTCACTCCACAGAATCACCTCTGTCCCCTTCTGCACGTCCTCATCCCACCAGCTTCCCTTAGGTTTGACCCACTTCACTATTCCACTCTAATGAAGACACATCACCTTACCTATTTCTACCTGTTTAAAGCAGAGCCAACCATTTAGAAATACAAACATGCTAATTCGTGTGTATTCATCCCTGCGCTTTGGCTTCTGTAGAACTGTAATAATAGTTTATAAGCTCTGTGAGACCACAGTACATTGCTCTGGATGAGTTACTGGGGACACATAGACTTTCTAAATATGCAGGACCTTTTTAAGATCAGTTCAGGAATGTCCCACTTACTTATACTGCTCAGACAGATGAGCACAGCATACTGCCTTGCGGGAGGTCCTTCCGCTCCTCCAACCAATAGCTGCTGAGATACCAGCCCATTGGGGGCGTGGTCTCTCTCCCTTTAAAACTACTTCCCTCGGCTTGCTCTCTCTTCACTTCCTGCTCCGCCGGTGACTAGACTCCCTTCCTGGTTGCGCAGAGGGCTGTTGTCTGGGACGGTGATCTGTAAGTTTTTTCCTCTTTAAATAAATACCACCCTATTAATCATAATTCCAAACTGGCGTGGCATTGTTTGTGACTTACGCCTTCACTGCCTGGGGACCCTGTCACCAAGAAGGCAGCATCGCCTGGCAAGGCTGATGCAATGACACAGAACTTTTGGAGGAAACTGAGGCAGGGGCCCTGGCAATGGCACCCAACATCTACTGCGTGGCTGCAAGGGACAAGAGCTCTGGAGACAGCAGGTTCTGAAGGCAGAACTAAGCTATTAGTGACAGGAGCTATCGTTCTGCTGATGGCTTCTGGAGTGCAGCATCCCAGGGTGCATTACATTGGTACCAGTTCTTGCTGTGGCTGTTGGCGAGGCAGTTGCCTCTAAGCATGGGGTTTAGTGAGTCCCGTGATGCTGGCTCACTCCCTCACTTCTCTAAGAAGTTGCTCCATGGCTCTGCTGGCAGGACAGAACAAAGCAACACCCAGAGCTGCCATCTTTTCTAAGGAAATCGCTATCCTCTGTCATTGGCCTTGCATAAAGAAAGGGACACAAAACAATCACCTGCCCCAAAGTAGCTCGTTGCTCCCCTGGATTAGGACTGGTGAGAATCGATTCCTCAGAAGAGCTTAGCAATGTGGAACCTAGTGAGGTCACACTCATGTGGTAGAGTCCATGACTATCCTGTTGGCCACAGTTCATGAACCAATGATTGGGTCCTCTTGAATATTCAAAAACTCAACAGTGAAGGCCTTTTGCTGGGCAATACCACCATCAGAGCTGTCTTAGCTTCTATTGCTGTGATGAAAAACCATGACAAAAGCAGCTTGAGGAGGAAAAGGTTTATGTGGCTTACACACCCACATTGCTGTTCATCACTGAAGGACAGGAACTCAGACAGGGCGGGAACCTAGAGGCAGGAGCTGATGCAGAGGCCATGAAGGGGTGTTGAAATAGGTGCTGCGGGGCTGCGTCCCCGGCACCCGGCCGCCTGCATGGCTAGCTTATGCCCCGAAATAATTACACGGAAACTGTATTCTTTCAAACACTGCCTGGCCCGGCTAGGTCCAGTTTCTTATTGGCTAGCTCTTACATATTGTTCTAACCCATTTCTAATATTCTGTGTAGCCCATGAGCTGGCTTACCAGTGAGGATCTTAACCTGCGTCTGTCTGGAGTGGGAGCATCATGGCAACTCCTCCCACTAAGCTTCTTTTTCCCAGCATTCTCCTCTGTCTACTCCGCCTACCTAATTTTCTGTCCTATGAGGGCCGAGGCAGTTTCTTTATTAGTAAGAAATCACTCCCACATCAAAGGGGAGCTGCTTACTGGCTTGCTCCACTCAGTCTGCTTTATTATAGAACCCAGGACCACCAGACCAGGGATGGCACCACCCACAATGAATGGGCTGGGTCCTTCCCCACCAATCACTAGTTAAGAAAATGCCCTACAAGCAGATCTTACAGAGGCCTTTCTCCTCTCAGATGACTCTAGCTTGTGTCTAGCTGGCATGAGGCCATCCAGCACAGTGTCCCATGGTGACATAACATCCCTTTCTGCAAACCTGTCGCCTATTTTCAATCTGATTACTTCTCCAGATTTGGCCTTGCGGTCAGAATGGCACCCGCTCACCACACCTGTGGCCACCTTGCCTTCCAGGAGACCCCAAGCTGGAACACGTGAGGACATTTCCTTTCCTTACTAGGCCTGTACCGCTGGGGCGGCTTCTCTACCCCGGTGCTGGTGTACTGTGTGTGTCATATGCCCCAGATGTGCGTGCTGTCCTCTGTGGTCACTGGGCACAGGGATCCCCCAGGGGAACAGTCGGGTGAATGGGAATGCAGCTGGGTAAGACACAGGACAGTGGGAGACTGGACATGTTTCCCAGACCGAACTGAAGCTCTGGTGGGCTTGGGAAAGGTGAAAGGACGGCTCTTTGACACCCAAGTTCACGGGCCTTAAAGGGCAATGGTGCAGTTTTATGTCAGTCTGCCTGTGCTCTTCTGTTTCCCGTATGGAAAATGGAACAAGAATTCTGCATTTGCTAATTATGAGGCAGAGACGTAATCCGCTCAGACCTGAGATGGAGGAGAGCCGCCCAGCTTTCCCTCCACGTCACCTACCATTTCCCGCCGTAGTTCTCCGAGAGAATGGCTATCATCCTTTCCACAGAGCCCAGGATGGCGCGGTGGATGATCACGGGCCTGTTCTTCTCATCCCCGTCCTTACTGAAGAAATGAAAAATGCACATTAGGTATTTCCTTAAAGCCAGCAATAAGTTTATATCTCCTAATCCTATAGTTAGTGTTGTCTGTTATTATTATTTTTTGGTATCTTTATTAGGAAATTGCTTTCCTCAAGACTTTACTTTATTTATTTATTTATTTATTTATTTATTTACTTATTTATTTATTTATTTATTTTTAAATCACTTTATCAGAGAACACCACAAATACACAAAGGCTGATCAGCACTGTGACCCCCACGTGCCCTTTCTGAGCTTCACAAATGCCCCTCACAGACAGTCTTATTTAACCCAGTTCTCCCTGCATCCACTCCTCCATTGTAAGCCTTATTTTTCCAATATACTTCTGATACTTTAAAAGTCTACCAGTCAAATTTACCTCACAGACCAACACACCATCATGACAGAGACATGTTCATCATTCCCCAATAGGAAAAAACTATGATGCCAACTGTGACTGCCAACTTCAATGAAGCGAGACTCACCAAGACCTGTGTGCACACCCTCAGAATGCAAAGCTTGGTTCATTTAGCACGCATAATTCATGGCACAGAAGAAGTTCTTTTGAAAAACTTTTTTCTCAAAATTATACCAGCTAGCTACTTTTAAACCACACTCAAGACAAACAAATCAGAGAGAGCCTCACTTAGCCCCAGTGCACATGTGTCAAAACTGGACATGGTCACTGCTGAACATTCCTGCTGATGGGCACTGCAGGCTCAGGCAGAAATCTGTGCAGATCCCAGAGAGCTTGGCAGTGTGGGGAGGGGACACTCAGAAGCAGCCTGAGCTCACTCCTGTGTGGACCTATGCAGATGTCACCTACTCCACACATGGAGCAGTATGGAATATTCCTAAATGTTCTTGGCTGTTCTGTGTGGGAAATGGAAGAGAAGTAGGCTAGCCTCTGTGCAGGCTTCTGTGTGTCCAACATTCTCTGTCTCATCATCTTCTTCAACTAGTGACAGAAAGTTATGCTCACACACTTACATTATCCAACAAACCTAGAATAAATGCTGAGTCCCTCCAAACAATCGCAGTGGATTAGACTTTGTATGTAAATTAGGAGAGAACCAGTAACTCTGCCATGTTGATTCTTCCCATTTCAAGAATGTGGTTCGAACCTTCTCATAAGTACCTGTCTTGCCTTTGATACAATCTCATGATGGAAGCACCATATAAATATCACACACTCTATCCTCCCTGACACTCTGTGCCACTGCTTCTGAAATGCTTGTCTTGTTTCTCCCAGCAGATGACGGCTGAAATGCCTGGAGGCGGACTGGACATCGCGCTCTAGAGTCACTGCTCTGAGGTCTCGCCATCTGAGTTGCAGGATTTTAGACATGAGAGCTTGTACAAAGCTTTACCTATCTGCACTCCTGGGATAATTCTGGGCAGCAATAAAACAGGCAATATATTCACTGCCTTCCTGGTTCTGGGGAGATGCTGTTGTTGGCTGATAAATGTTCCTTATCATAATGGGAGGTTTATTTGCATCATTTCATAGGATGGCTACTGTGTTTTACAGATGCCCTTCCTCCAGGCTGTGTGCAAGAGGTTAACACGTGTTTCCATAGTGAGCCCCCTTGAGATCTTAAGATAAGAAGTCATGGTGATGCTCTGCTCTCCTGCTCCCTACGCTTCAAAAATGACACCAGCCCCTTCTCCAAATTATACAAAACACCGCCATTGGGTTCACTTGCTTCTAACCATCACTACCCTGATCTGTCTACGGACCAATGCTCCCCTAGTTTCCACACTCCACACACTCCTAGGATGGCTTACCTGTATGATTGAATTCCCCTCCACCCCTCCCTCAAGTGAAAAGGGATTGTTTATTATAATAACCCTGATAGGACAATTATGGGATTTGAAATGTGACAATAGTTTTCCCCCTAAAGGGAAACATATAACTTGGGCAGTTTCAGTGGAAACTACCAATAATCTGTAAGAGAAATAACACCAAATTTACCTCATCTTTTCCAGAAAACAGAACAGAAGGGAATACTTCCCCAATTGTTTTAAAAGACCAGCATTCTCAGATACTGAGATCTAGCAAGGCTGTTACAAAAAAACAAAGTTACAGACCAATTTCCTGTAAGAACATGCATTCAAATAATCTCAACAAATTAATGACAGGCCAAGATCCAAGTAGATCTTATCCTAGAAGTGGTTAGAGTTCTAAATAAACACGGTCCACCATAGAAATAAGCTAAAGAAAAAAAAAACAGAATTCTTGATTAAAACAACTCTTCAGCCATTAGAAATATTGGGAAACAATTGGGAGGTGAGTGTTGAATCCGAGGCCTGGCAAAGGCTGAGCAAACACTCTATCACTGAACTCCACCCTGAGCCGGGGAGAGGCAGATTGAAAAGGTCTGGCAAGTGGTTAGGTCAAGCAGGATACCCCAGGAAGGGACTACCGTAGGTCTCCTCGCACAGCTAGCTTAGCTCTCAAGAGATGTCGTCCACACAAAGCTACTTCCTTTCCCGTGTCTCTGCCACATTGAGAAGCAGTAGGAGACCTGTGCCGGAGACCTATGCCAGAAGCCTGTGCCAGGCTGTTTGCACTTTAGAACTGCCAGAACTTTAGCCAAATAAATCTCGTTCCTTTATAAAGTACCCAGGCTTAACTATTTTGACCTAGCACTATAAACAGATGAAGAAAACCCCAATATTACATAGAAGTCAACAAATGTATAGTGCATAGCACAGACCCTAGGAACTCAATAGTGCTTATTTGTGTATTGTCCATGATCTTACAAAAAATAGTGAAGATACTAGAATCACTCACCTAACATAAGTGAGATTAAACCTAATGGGCAGCTGGAAGTCCAGCTGAATTGTAGCACACTGATGGTATCTGCCAATAGCATCTTTAATTTTTATGTCGATCTGTAAATTAAGAAATGCTTGCTTAGAGACAGTTTTCATGTTTTGGTTTATTTTTCTACCTTCTCTTTTTTTCAGGCATATGTTCTACTTACTTTAGGGCCATAGAATGCTCCGTCTCCTGGGTTCATTTTCCATGGTTTTCCAAATTCCATCAAGCTATTCTGCAGTTGCTATTTTATTTTAAAAAAAAAGAGAGAGATCATTAGAAACTTCTGCTTTATTTCATAATCGTCTTTTTGGCTATATAGCTCACAACTATCTATACATATTAATCACACTCTGCCTTCAGTCAGTGCACACGCTCAAGCATCTTTCGCATTCAACAAACTGCTGAGTGAGGACAAGGCAAAGACAACCACAGTGGTTCTAGCTCTGAAGCGTATGTCCCTCTCAACTGGGGGAAAATGCATTGTTTCCTAAGTTGTTCCTTCCAGAGCAGGCCCTGTGTCCTACACACTGACAGCAGTGGCTCCTCGTTCGCTTCTCTGTTGCTGTGACGAGACCATGACCACAACCAACTCGGGGAACAGAACAGTTTCTGTCATCCTACAAGTCCCTGGCCATAGCCATCATGAAATGAGGTCAGGGTAGAAGGCAAGAGACAGGAATTAAAGCAGAGGCCATTGGGGACACTGCTCACTGGCTTGTTCCTGGGCTCGGGGATTCAGCTGCTTTTCTTGTACCTTCCAGGCCCTCCTGCTCAAGGGTGGCACCATGCTCAGTGGGCTGGGCTCTCCCACATCGGTCAGCAATCAAGAAAATGTCCCACAGACATGAGACATGCCTACAGGTCAATCTGATGGAGGCAATAGCTCAACTGAGACTCTCTCTTCCAAGACACGTCTAGGTCTGTGGCAAGCTGACAAAACAAGCAGAACACTATGTCTCCCAGTAGTGTGCCTGAGACCTCTGTCTTCTTGTAGGTGGGCGAGCCTGAGAGCTTTGGTCCTGCTTCCCTTTCTCACTGTGGATGGTGGGGAGGAAGGTGGGGACAGAAGACTTTGCCACCGCTTCCCTTTATGTTTCTTTGACCTCTGCTTCAGTTGGGGGGTGGGGAACCCTTATGAGTTACTGGGTATGAGGATGGAACCTCACTTTTGTCTTCAGTCTAATCCAGTTCAGGCTTTGGATGCAGCCTATGGTGAAGATTGCTTGGCACTTATTTATGGTGAAGGAGTGTCCAGATAAATACTAACAGGAGAAGCCTTGGGCCAGTTTCTCTGGAGAGCACGAAACAAAATATGTCAAAACTCCACCTAGGTTCTTGTCATAACCCCATACACTGGCACTTAGGAAGAGTTTGACCAACTGGTAATACAGGGGGTCTTTGAGAAGTCAAGGCAACAATGGTACCTCTGAGCTCCAGCTGGAATCACCAAGAAACTGATTCCGGGGGTCATGGTGGGCTTTTCCAGGGTCTCAGTCACGACATGCTCTTGACAGAGAGAATTTCATTCCTAAGCTGCCGGCAACACCCCTAGTGGACCAAACTCTACAGGAGCGACCTCCCCTCGCTTGGGACCAGGAAAAGCCACCTGCATAGAGGTACTTCACAGGCTTGGGAGTCCCTCCTTGACTGTACTGTTTCAGTAGGAGGAGGGATACTAGACAGAGAAACTGAGGCCCTGTGACAGCATTGGAGGGTCCCAGAGTTCCTCAGGCAGGCCACGGTTTGGAGAAGACTATGAAGCGGAGGTCACCAAACTGTTTTCAGGCTCTGGGAAGAGGATGAGGCAGCACAAAGGGAGCAGAGCTGCTATGGGGAGGGCTGAGAAAGCTCCGGTTGTTTTCAAGCCGTCACAGAGACTCGAGAGGACAGCGGGGAAGACAGCAATAGACTAGACCCTAAGTGCTCATTTCACTGGCTCCCAGACCATCCAAGGTGGCCACTTGGGAGAAAGCCCCCAAAGCAGAGGAAGTTCTATCCTGTAACTGCCATGCTCCTGGGAGACTTCATGCTTGTCTGCTAAACTTTAGCCATGTCAATCAAAAGGAGTAAAACTGTCAAGACCTCCACTTCATTGTTCCCATGCCAGGCCCGTCCCTCCTCTAGTCCCTGTAACCCACCCCATTCAACAGCTGGAGTGAGGCTGATGGTGACGACGGCACAGGTCCACCATTAGTTCATACACGTGAATTCACTTAAGGTCCCGAGCACAGCCTTACGCGGCAAGTGCTGTGGCCTGTGTGTAGCCACCCTGTCACATCTCATTTCAGTCCTGATGCTTGCCCGCAGAACTGACGTGTGAGAAAGCAGAGCCACAGAACCATGCTTTGAACCCTCTTTTCTCTTTCCACTTCCATGCGACTTTTAGGTAAACCAAGTCAGCACCCTTCCCAGGGCAGGAGACCTCAATGGACTTTGATCATCCACTCAGTAGGTAGGGAAGAAGAGTTAGGGCATGGGACAGGGGTATGTGTGAGGAGGAGACCCCATTACAGCTCACGCCTAGCCTGCGTCTGTGCACCTCTACCTGGCATCCATCTTCTCCCTAAATGAAAGCAACCGTTACACTCTCCATACAGTGTCCCCCATTTTCCGGCCTCCTGGTGTATGCTTAGCACCTGTGAGTGTCTAGGAAAGGCGGACTAGGACTGAAGATGATAAACAGAGGGTAGGGCAGATGGTCACTGCAGCAGTGAGAACTGGCTAGCCACACGCCATAGTCCACACACTCACTCCCCAGGGAAGAGCATTTCCTCAGGCATGCGACACTGCCACAGTGCTTACCCTTTCTGCTTCATCCCACATCTCAACCTCTCCTAGGAAGTGCTCAGGCCGTGTTGACAGGTTTAATTGAAAGGAGAAGCCGAACGTTGAGTAAACATACTGCAAAAAGTGCAAGCATCCCTTTATCTCTTCTTCAATCTGAAATAAAGCAGTTGAAACACTCACACAGAATGCCAATTTAAATTAATTCATGATAGTTTTAACAATACATTATTTATGTTAAATAGTAGTAGTCAAATCAATAGTCAAACTGATTTGAAAAGCTTTTTAAACTTTTTTAACATTATATATCTTCCACTTTTTAGGTCAGAGTCCTTGCCTACCTGCTCCACCATGCAGAAGATGTGAGCATCATCCTGCTGGAAGCGCCTGACTCGGGTTAAGCCACTTAAAGTTCCCGAGAGTTCATTTCTGTGAAGAACTCCAAAATCAGCAAACCGGACGGGCATTTCCCTCCAGGACCGTGGGCGATGGGCAAACATTAGACTAGAAAAGGCATGGAAGGGACAGACTTTACATGACGGAGAGAAAAGTGATCATCTTACACTCTGAAGCCAAGTCTCTAGATGCACAAATGCCTCGTGCTGGCTCTTAGATCAACAGGCAGTTCTTTCCCCTATGACTATTTTTTATTTATCTTTTTGGCCCAGAGATGGAACCCTGTGCCTCACATACTAAGGATGTGCCACACAGGTGACTGACAGCCCTAGCTCTCTTCTAGGAAAAGACAAACTGTGAGCTGCCATCACCGCAGCGCCGACAAAGAATCCTGTCCACACCATCTCTTCCTGAAATGCTGCCCCCTTCAGATCATCCGCTGACCAGGGTTTTGTGCATTTTATTATAATCAGCCAAACAGTGTATAAGAATTAAATAGCCTGTAAACATGTATATTTGATGTATAATAATTACAAATATAATGATCTGTAATATCAGTGCACACTATTACCCTCTGAGAAGTGCAGAAAATGAGAATTCCGAGCTAACATTCCATGCCTGCCAAAGACCAGGCACACTTTAACAAGGAACTCCATTCTCTACGATGAAATGACGAGGTACAATGATTAATGGCCTCCACTCTCCCCATGACAAGAAATCCCTTTAAAGAGCAAAGGAATAAAATGCAAAGCTAACTCCAATGAGGTGCTATGTACACGTGCAGGGTCCCCTTCATGTCCAGGACTCACCAGTGCCCTGGACAGTTCATGGGTTTGAGGGCAAAGGTGTCCTTTTCAATATCAAAGGTGAACATGTTGTTACTGTAATGCTGCCAGTGGCCCGAGGTTTCCCAGAGTTTGCTGTTGTACATGTTAGGAGAGAGCACTTCCGTGAAGTTACGCCTGTGATACTCCTCCTTGAAGACAAACATGGTTGATGTTAAAATCTGCCAAGCTAAAGCACAATGCCAAGCAGAATAATACTGTGAGCAGCTATTGCAAAACTCAAGGCCCTGTCTTCCATTAATTCCTGTTTCCTCAGGCTCAGGTGCTACAGGTTTAAGGTGACAGCTTCGTGGAGTATGAACACAGAGTCTGCATATTTCAGTAAGCTTTTCATTAGTGTATTTATTCACAGCACACCACAGCCAGCAACACTGGGAGTCAAAATGAGTCCTTCCTCTTTTAAACTGTTTCAGGTATCTTACAGAAGAAAATTCAACCAGATACAAATAGTATAGACGCAAATGTTTCAGTGCTTTCAAACTTAGTAACTATAATGCTATATACAGTTACTTATATTTATTTATTTATAGTTCTTTCACTATAACTAAAAATTTCTAAGTCCTATATTCTTAATCAATTCTAACACTTTCACCCTATGATTTAGAAGACCTAATAATTTTAGAACTTGTAAATCTGAATGTCATGATCCCTGTTATAGCATTGGCCCATTTAGTGTTAAGTAGAAATATAACTGAGAATTTTAATTCGCAATACATCAAGTAGTAGACACTAAGCCATAGATGTTTCTCTCACTTCTTAGCAGCTTCCTTCATTAAATCCGTGGGGCTAAGAGAGGAGAATCCCCAAATATTTTTAAAGTATTATTTCTATTTTTTTTAATTTTTATTTATTTATTAAAGATTTCTGATTCTTCCCCACCACTGCCTCCCATTTCCCTTCCCCTCCCCCAATTGAAGTCCCCCTCCCT